CCTTCTGAAGAAGGTTCTAGGCCCGAAACGTCAGCCTTCCTGCTCCTCTGATGCTGCTTGGGTCTGCTGTGTTCATCCAGCTCTACACCTTGTTATCTCAGATTCTCCAGCATCTGCAGTTCCTACTATCTCTGAAACAAGTTTCACTGTCATTCAGGATAACAATCTGATTCCTTCACACAGCTATAAACATAGGATAAAATTTCCAGGAATGTTGGTCAACAAAACTGTTTGCCAACATCCATTGTTTTTACTGGGGTGATGTTATTTTTGCTTATATCAAAATGCTTTGGTACACAATAACAACACTTTCAACTTTTTACATTTACAACAGTACTGGGGGTGAATATACCTCAGAATGTCCACCTAATGATAAAAGGAGCAGCTTATTTACTCCACTCACTTTCCTGGCAATGGAAAGAAAGAGTTTTATGAGCTGAGAATGTTCGTCAGACAGTGAAAATAATAGTCAGACTTACAAGACAGATAAGAATATAGACCTACCATAATACTAAATTACAATAACAAGTGTCTTTTACCAAGTGACATCAGAATTCCTAAACACTCACCTCTTGTTCTCTCTGAAATATAACGACTCGACCCCCCTTGTCCCCAGTAGCCAGCAGTTCTCCTGTGTGATTGAACTCTACAGTAGAAATTATATCAGCTGAAAAAGATGGAAAAGAAGTTTAAAGTAAAATTAAACCAGAATATAAAGCATGCTTGCTCATTTTGATCTAACAATAAGGAGCTGCAGTTTGCTGATTACCTCTATAGATTCATCATAAACGTAACCTCTCCAGTTCAGAATGCCTGAGATCAGGTCATTCCTGGACTGAGTTTTCTGGATTATAGAACGATGTTAGGTTACCTAGTCACCAGCATGAACTACAAATCACCAATAGGGTAAATATTCTCCTGATGCGTGCAGCAGAGATGAAACATTACAATGCAGCAGTTAAAACTATTTATGAAATACTGCATCTTTCAAGTTTGCAATTTCAAAGTACTGGATTAAAGTGATGGCTGTGAGTATCTCAAGAATAATTCCAGGCAACTAACTTTTAGAATAAGAGATTTCTGGACCAGAGGTTACAGCAGATTTATTTTACTAAGTTAAATAATGAACAGTTGGGTATTTTTACAATTATGATATAGATATTTTGATAGATATGATATGATATGATATTATATTTTGGATCTAAGGCTTAAAGTTAAGAGTAAATGAAGGGGGTCATGCTCTATAGTCTGTCCGAGTGATGTAATTGTTCAAGAACAAATGAAGGCTAAGATTATTTTACTAAGTAGAAATTGCAAGGTATTTTTACTGGAAACATTCAGTCTCTGAGCTTCAGAATTAAATTCTGGGTCTCCCAGAAAATTACTGAGCTGCAAACGCATCTAAAATGAAGACTGTTCAGATCAGGGATAGTTGATTAGCATTTTACCTAGATACAAAGTTGACAAGCTCCATTTTAAGGGAAAGAGAACAGAGGAAGCCATTTCTTTGAGCTCAGGTTGTAGGTTTCCCTATAAACCAATGATCACTTCACACAGAGAACAGTGTTGAGTGTTCAGCAGACAAAGGAGACTGCTTTGCTTTATGAACTATTACAATTTCACAAGGGAGATGTTGAGTCAAAGAGATGCATCCTTCAGCCATCTATGGATTCTCAGAAATCAATCCTGGCATGGCCATGGGACAAGTATCATCAAATTGGCATGAGGAAATGCTCCAGTAACTGGTGCAAGTGCCTAGAGTTGATCACCCAAAATTATCACTTACTCACAGTGATACAGAAATCCATCAAAAGCTGGGAGCAACTGGACTATTTGTAAAAGGACCATCATTTGTGGAGTGTGTGATGGATGCTAAGTCTACAAGAAGAGTGTGACTTTCTGAAAATCAAAGTGTAAGCTGGCTACAAAAGCAGTAAAAAATTAGTTTTTTTAAAGTAATTTATTGAAGTTTTAAAATGAAATTTTATTGCATCATTCTTTCAGCAATAAACTAGAAACTCAAATCTTTCTAAAAATTAACATCTGTACAGAGATCATAAAATATTCAAAAGCTAAAAATATTCAATTAAAAGATACAGAAACACTGAATCTAGTCATATTTAGCATCCACAAAGGCGGTTTTGCTCTGAAATACAATTTGTGTGTCTGGTTTTTAATTGCATTGCTAATAAACTCATAATAAACCTATAATGGACCTTATAGATTACGTACAAAACCCATCCAGACACAAAAAGTAACTAAACATAATATCAGTTTGAGTCTTTTCTTTTCAAAGTTATGTCAGAAAGTTAGACAATTCCATTTGAAATGGGAAAGGTGCAGAGAGAAACATGTCCACATTGAAATTATTAATGATACAACAAAAATCACAGAACAGCATTGAGAAAGTGCAGAAATTGTAACCATTGAAGAATACATTTTCCTCTGCTGTTTGATTTTAGCAAACAAGTTGACATGAGCATCAATGATGGTCTTAGTACTACTTTTCATTAAAAACAGCAGAGGGAACAGAGTACAATGAAACATGTCATGGACTAAACCCTATAAATGATCCTAATTATATAGAATATACCTCTCTGCAACATCAACTCATTCAGTTACTTCCATAAAGCACCAGGTACTGTACAATGAGAACAAAGGTTTCAGACATAACAATACGTCTCTAAGGATCATGTCATTTGTAGAACTTATATTAAAAAAAACTGCTTTGCACTTCATATCCCTCGATTGAGATAATAAACTGCCTATCTTGATGAGCATGTAGAAAATACATACAGGTTAGGAGCACAGTAGGCCATACAGCTCCTTGATCCTAGTATGCCATTTGATAATATTCTGACTGATGTAATTATGTCCTCAATTCCACTTTCCTGTCTACCCCCTGCCATTCCTTTTGACTCCCTAGGTGACCACGAATTTAACACTAACTTAAAAAATATTCCTCGACTGCTCCATGTGGGCAAGAGAATTCCACAGATCGATGACTCCCTGGGAGAAGCATTTTTCTTATCTGTCTTAAATGGGAGACTGCTTATTTTTAAATTGTGTCCGCTTGGTCTAGTCTCTCTCACCAGGGAGAACTTCTCAGCATCCACTCTCAATTCCCTTCAGAATTACCTGTTTCATTCATCTAAACTCCATTGAAAACTGACCCAACCTGTCCAATCTTTCCTCATAAAACAAGCATATTGGGAGTTAACAAGGTGTGGAGCTGGAGGAACACAGCAGGCCAGGCAGCATCAGAGGAGCAGGAAAGCTGATGTTTAGGGTCTGGACCCTTCTTCAGAAATGGGGGAGGGGAAGGGGGCTCTGAAATAAAGAGAGAGAGGGGGAGGCGGTGATATAAGGTGGATAGGTGGAGCAGATAGGTGGAGAGAAGACGGACAGGTCAAGGAGGCGGGGATGAGGTCGGGGTGGGGAGATTTTGAAGCTTGTAAAGTCCACATTGAGACCATTGGGTTGTAGGGTTCCAAGGCGGAATATGAGGTGCTGTTCCTCCAGTGTTCGGGTGGCATTGTTGTGACACTGGAGGAGGCCCAGGATGGACATGTCATCCAGAGAGTGGGAGGGGGAGTTGAAGTGGCTCGCTACTGGGGAGGTGTTGTCGTTTGTCACGAACCGAGCGTTGATGCTCTGTAAAGCAGTCTCCGAGCCTCTGCTTGGTCTCCCCGATGTAGAGGAGGCCACATCGGGAACAGCGGATACATTACACCACATTAGCAGACGTTCAGGTGAACACCTATTTAATGTGGAATGTTTTCTTGGGGCCTGGGACAGAGCTGAGGGGGGGGGGAGGTGTAGGGGCAGGTGTAGCACCTCCTGCAGTTGCAGGGAAAGGTGCCGGGGGTGGTGGGGCTAGTGGGGAGTGTGGAGCGGATGACGGAGTCGCAAAGAGAGCGGTCCCTCCGGAAGGCAGGTAAGGGTGGGGAGGGAAATACATCCTTCGTAGTAGGGTCAGATTGCAGGTGGCGGAAGTGGCGGAGAATGATGCGTTGAATCCGGAGGCTGATGGGGTGATACGTGAGGACAAGGGGGATTCTGTCTTTGTTGTTACTGCGGGGAGGGGGTGTGAGGGCTGAGGTGCAGGAAACGCAAAAGATGCAGTCGAGGGCATTTTTGGCCACTGTGGGGGGGGGGCGGGGAGAATTGCAGTCCTTGAAAAATGAGCACATCTGGGATGTCCAGGAGTGGAACGCCTCATCTTGGGAGCAAATGCGGAGGAGGCGGAGGAATTGGGAATAGCAGATCGCATTCTTATTGAGAGTTAAGCTGGCATGCTGTTGACTTTTGCTACTTTTGACTGAGATTACAATATCTTTTTCTTACTGTCCTTTGACCACGAAAGATTTGTTTCTCATTTATTATTATTAAATGTATCGCATTTTGATTCTTTACAAATTTTGAACGCCAACTATCACATCAGCTTCACTCGAAAAGGCCATGTCAGGGGAAGGCAATAGCCTAGTGGTATCATCACTGACTATTAATCCAGAAACTCAGCCAAAAGAGTGGGGACCCAGGTTCAAATCCTGCCATGCAGCTGGAATTTGAATTCAATAAAGAGTCTGGAATTGAAGGTCTAATGATGACCAGGAAGCTATTGTCAAGAAAACCCAACTAATGTCCTTTGAGGAAGAAAATCTGTCATCCTTGCCTGGTCTGACCTACACATGACTCCAGACCCATAGCAATGTGCTTGACTGAACTGCCATTGGGGCAATTAGGGATGGGCAACAAGTGCTGGCCTAGTAGAGTTGCCCACATCCTGTGAGTGAATAAAAAAAATGCAGTGATAGGTCATCAAGGACGGGCAGAATTCATTCACAATAAATAGATACACAATAATCACAACTGTCTTCCTTAGCACCTGTTTAAAGAATCACTTGTAATTTTCTTTTTGAAGCAAAAATATTCCAAACTTGTTCCCAGCCCCAAGGAAGCAACTTGGAAGCAGGTTGCTTTGCAATTTCAGCATCGGAATGGCTCTCCGATGCATTCACACCTTCATCTCCTTTACTCAGAGGCAGACAAGTGGCTTTTCTCGATAAGTCATGCCTGACATCTCAGTCTAGTCACTTACACTTCCTGACCTAAAATGCATCTGGATTTGGGGGTTTGACATGCTACTGGCAAAATTCAGCTCAGTCCTTCCTAACTAACCAAATGAAGTTATGAAGCCCAACATGAGCCTGAACAATGGTTGGTTGTGCTATAATGCCACACAAAAACATGCTCATTTGAAAACATCCAATTCCTACCTTATCTTTAGAGCACCACTGACAGTTAACTTGTGTTACCTTCAATCTGTTTGAACACGAGTGCATGGCATTATAAAAAGGCAAGGATCCCTTCAAATCTCCTTGCAGCCAGCTTGAAAGTGACAACAGCCCATTGCGCTTTCACCCTTCATTCGCAGGGCATGAGCTGTGCAGCAAGATGAGGAAAAAAGGGAAAACTAGGGAGCAAAGTGCTGAGTGACAACTCAGCTTCTGTGTTCATTCTCGGGAATGCAACGTGGCTCCCTTCATCATGACCCTTCTTCTTGACAAAGAAGACAAGACTTCGGAGTCTTGAGACTCAAGACACAAAGACTTCTGAGGAGTCACCAGAAATGCCGAAAATACGGACAGGATTCTATCAAACTAA